TTTGACCGAGTTCCTCGGTAGATGATCGTATATATATATATATATATATAGTAATCGTTTAGAGAGGAGCATTCAGCAAAATGCTGCATCTTAACCGTTTATTTCTTTCCATTTCTAAAAGGTACTCATCGATCAAGTGCGCGCAAGATACGGTGACTGCTGCGGGTCACTGCAACAGCGCCTAATAGAGGAGTATCGCGAGATGACTCGGAGCTTGGAAGCGGAGGAGGAGCGAAAAAGAACGACTGCTGAGCAAAACTCTGAAGCATCCAAGAGGAAAAGCAGAAAGTTAAACAAATCCACAAAGAAGGCAAGGCGGTCCTGAAGTTGAACAATCTGAAGAGAGGTATGAATGCAGTAGAACCCCACATTGCTGAAGCACATGGTTTTTCTTAGCTGATTATGCAACCCCGGATGCAAGCCTGCTGTAACTTTTGGCTGCTATATATCCATGGAGATACAAAGAATTGACCGGTGGCTGGTGAAAATAAAGCCTCCACATTAACTCACAATGTTTTAACCCCAATCACTGGTGTCTTAGACGTACGAGCTGTTGTGCGGTCAATTGACTAGTGGGGATCAAGTGGTAGGATAGTCTAAGACTCCTGCTACAACCGCAGCTTTCGTTTAGTGCGACTGGTTTAAGCTGAGCGGTGCCCAGAGTTTGGAACAACCGTGATGAGTCCACTGGTACTAATGAAGATCTGCTGCTAAGGCGCAACATTAGCTGTTGAACCTCTTGAAAAATGAAGGTAATTATGCTAAGTTGTCACCAACTAACAAGCCGAACGTGACAGGTGACAAAATTAAATCCACGCAGTCTCACATCTTCGCTAGACACTCAATGCATCCACATCAGACTATCAATAGTAGGCTGTTCATGAAACGTGTTAGAAGGCGATAGTCCGTTAGTGGTAAAACAGCAGCAGAATAACAATGATGAATTTTCTTGGACCACAGTTGTGCTGCAAAGCAGAACAGATCGCGATGTCGGAGTTTCGCACTTTGCAACGAGACAGAAGACAACATGCAGTGTTAATGAGGTGAAACCGCTTAGGTTAATGGATGCCACATGTGGTGAATTCATGCATATAGTGGCCCTATAGATATTCTGAACCGGCGTTTCACTGGTTTACTTAACGGAATATACTAGACTTATTGATGCTGATTGAGGTACATACAGGATAGCGATTGATAGAATCATGATCGTGGGTTCAGCGCAGCAGTGCTGATGGGTTAAACAGACCAACGAGAAGCCACGGAGCACAGCAGAAGTGCACACGGAAGGATAACAGTGAGCTAAGAGTGTATTCATTGTGGGTTCAGCATGCATGAGGGCTAATGTAAAGAATCTTTGACATCGACAGTGTAAAAACGAAATACGGCAGTACTTTGTAACCTCTAGTGGGACAGCCCATGGCTCGCTGAGGCTTGTGGTGATGACAGATCGTAGACCCGCTGTTGATAATGTCGTACAGTGGGCTAATGTCTTAAACGCCGCGTCGTGACGACCGCTAAGTGGGAGTGGGGTTGTACCCTTCTTCTAGCTAAGAACCAGGACACACAATTCGGCGTCAGCCAGTTCACCTGCACGTGGCGAACGGCCCGGTGCCTTTCGGGTCTACATTTTATCGAAGGCATTGCTGGGGACCCGAGTCGTTCTCCAGTCAGGTGTGGATGCCCTGGCAGAATCCTAGTCCAACTCTCAACTAGGAAGCACACCAATAATAATAATTCCATGCTGCATCGGCCGTCGCGTAATGATGTGTGAGTGAAAAGAGTCACCTTATCTGCTGCATACAGCGGCGTAACTAAGCGAAAACATGTTAATGCTAGCGTCTCCCTCCTTCCTCTGCACACAATCTCCTCGTCCCCGTTTCAGCTAACCCACAACTACATTCAATCCAGATCACCACACGAGCGATTGCCCGGCCAATAGAATGCCTCGGTGCAAAGCGCCCAACATTGGGTGCTGCAACGTTCACACACTGCCCGACCGTAATACAAGTGAGCGTCCAGAACGACGCACTGCTCTGGTCGAGATGAAACGCGCGCCACGGGATCGATATTGCAACACAGTGAGAATCGGCTCGCTGACCAAGGCAAGCTGCACGATGGTATTGTAGGTAACACGTTCTACCGAGTGGGAAACGACACCGCAGCACTACGTGAACATGGGGTCGGATCTAGATTATCCAACTGACTAAGTGGCCAGCTGGTGGGAGATCCGACCACGATGGATGACTCGTCGTCTACGCTCCGGGCGAGGTAAGTTTGTAGATTTATTACCAAGTATGGTCTCAACATGTATTATCCTGATGATGCAAGGGATCAATTTTACGGCCAGTTGTCCTCTGCAATACAGTCTGTGCCTAGGAGCGACCGGCTATTCCCACTGCGTGATTTCAACGCCCGAGATGTCGTAGTGTGGACAGATGTCATCGGTCCGTGTGGTATTGCCTCCCGCAATGGGAACGGTGACCAGCTTCTCTCACTGTGCGCTAACCACGGCCTGACGATTACGAGCACCCGATTAGCACGGGGTGCGAGTGATATAGCTACTCGGACGTACCCACGGAGTGGTCATGCTAATCTGATCGACTATGTCATCGCACACCAGTGTGACATGTGTGAAGTGCGCATGACACGCGTACTGCGTAGAGCTGAGTGCGGCACTGACCATAGGTTGGTGCAGATTCAGTTGTACATCTACTTTGGTAAAACTACGGATTGCTCACCTGTCGTGAAATGACGGCGTATATTTAATGTTCGTTCCCTGGTTACTATTGAGCAGAGGGTGGAACTGGCGATGGCTACCCGCATTGGCGATGTCGAATCTAACACCCCTCAGTCAACGATTTGTTGCACCATATCCGTGAACAGGTGACGGCTGCTGCCGAGCAAACCATGGGGTTCGCAAACTATAAGCGGCCCGATTGATTTGAGGATAACAGCATGACCATTGACGCATTTGTGTCGGAGAAAAATGTAGCCTACGATGCACATGTAGAGGACCCTGCACACTGCGAAGGAGAGTCAGATTCGCAAACTTCGACCATGACTGACTAGAGGACTCCATCCCATCAAGAATGCACAGTGGACGGAGAAGGCGAAGCAGATGAAATGCTACGCCGAAAGCCGCCAACATAATGAATTCTTTGACTTCTTGAAGACGGTGTATGGACCCACGTTTCAGTCGCTGAGGATGTTGCTTAATGGTACTTCAGGCGTTGCCTGCACACAGACTGTAGATTTGGCGAAACCACTTCGATTGTATCTTGAACAACCGTTCAGAGATTGACTGGCCTATGTTGTATGGGCCGCAACAGTAAGAGATGAAAATGTCTCTTGCCGAAACGCAGAGCCCTTGCTCAGCGGCGAACCGGAAAATGCGCATACCGACAATAGCTGTGTACCTCGACTCAAAGAGTGTGTTCGATTCAGTAGATCAATGCATTCTGTTCGAAATACTTGTGCAGGAAGCTGTCCCCATGAAATATATGAACATTTTACAGGCCATATACTCGGACACCACAAGCCACGTTAGGAACAACGGTGACTCATCCGATATCTTTCCGACAATAAGTGGTGTCTGTCAGGATTGCCAAGTTTCCCATGTTTGTTCAAATTCGTAGTGGACTCCATCATGGAGTTTTGAGGTACTGTCAGGTGAAAAGCTAGTTGATCTTAACTTCAGAGAGATTTGGAAACAATCGGTTGGTATGGTTATTTGGTAACGTTTTGCTCTTTACACAAGAGCTTCGTCATACCAAGTGAATCAGTGTGCAATTAGAGTGGCACTCCAATGAAATGAAATCGCTGACGATCAAACTGGATGCCGTCGGTCCGTCTCGCCTTCCAAGCTGGTCCACCTGACCAGTCTTGTGCTTGGCTCCAGATGTTACATGACATGGCTCGCAGCCGGTACAACTGGCACGTCTACTGCCGTCTCCTAGTCGCACAGTCTGTTTAAAGTGTGTCTGATGCTGAGTTATCTGAGAGGTAATGGTTGATTATAAAACACGGGGCAATGACAGCCGCAAGAAAGCTATCTCGCTAATGCCGCCTTATCTTTACATGATATCCAGCTGCCTGTGACCGCATGTTGGCAAGTTGTATGCGTTGTGACCCCTAATGTTTGTCTAGGGTTTTAAGAGTCTACACTACGGCTACCTTATCCATACGTCTTATTATTCTTCGTTACGTACGCGATTGTGGTTGTACGGTAGTGAAGCATCAGTCCAGATGGCTGCTATACTGCCATGACATGAGGATCGTCCACAATTCCGTTAATTATGCAGATTCTGGGCGCTATCCGTTCAATTCTTTACTGAGATATGATGATCTAAGACTGCCTTACATAATATCTAGTAAATATCTTAAAAGGAATGAGACATCGCGTATGCGCGACGCGTTCATGTTAGCCGGACTGGATAGGGAGGCAACTGGGTTCGTACATGAAACTTGTGGACGGCGGTTCGCAGCCGAATGGTGGCACAGATGCCTCAAGCAGTTAACGCAACTTAATGCCTATTGTTGGATATACCGAGCAGCACGAATGTATCAAACTGTGAGGATAACTGGTCGCGAAGAGTGCTGACGCATGGTGAACAGCAACAGCTGAGTTAAGTCGCCAGGTCTCCATTTCCGTGCTTCGTAGTAAGGTACAGGATTTTTGCTAGGTTATTTGACTCCTTATTCACGAGATAGCAGTAAACACGTTGTGCGAAATGGAAGAAGTCAAGCCATTCAAGCCATAATGCTTGCAAAATGGGCTCACTTGGGCGAAAAATACAGCGTTACTGTCGGGTTTCGAGATTGCAAAGTGGAAATGAAGTCCGGATAAAAGCAAGGCTCCAGTTAAAGCGACATCCACCGATAGGAGCAAACACGAAAAGTCGTCAGAAGGAAACTAGCATGTGTTTGAGAAAGACATGTGCAGTGGAGTGCGCGCGAGTGCAGCTATCCAATGAGAAACTAGGGAGCGCGAACGGAGGGGTTCAACTGTATTCAAAACCGGCGTTCGCATGTAGTGCATATAAGAGCCGTTCGCGTAGCAACACAGGATCACGGAAGTCAGGTAGTCGCAGCAAATTCATACAAGTGCTCGCGGTGGGCAGGCGATCCAACTCTTGAGTAACCTGGATGGAAAATGGGGGCTGCAAATCCCGGAACCCAAACATAGGAGGTCGGGAACAGGCAGTGACGAAGCGAAGGAAGAGACGTTTGTCGGACTCGGAAAGACTGCGAAGCACTGTCCAGAAATATTCCAGAGTCTCTTTGTGTTCGCTGGCATCTGAAAGGTGATGGCAAAGTACTAGACAGTGACATGCAGATACGAATGGGGATGCATGTTGTAAAATTCTGTCAGCTGCAATTAATGGGTCCAGAGCAATGTGACACTGACAAGAGAGATTGGGTACACTGGACGGTGCTTAGACAGGACAGGATCTGAGCCTCAAGGAACGACAGTTGGACTAAGCACCAAAGTGACAGGAAGCATGGTACATGGGAAAAATCTAGAGTGAAACGTGTCAAGGGCGCTTCGTGTTCTTTTGGGAATTAGGGTAACTGCGAGTGTTCTCAGTGTAGTGCATATTATGCTACCAATGAGATCGGCTAAGGCAGTGCGCGCTGAACTTTGGCGAGAGTATCGACACCGATGAGAATCGGGAACCGTGTACAACCCCATTCGCTTTAGCATGCGGTGCACGAAACAACTCATATAAATGGCGGGACCTGAAAACCGATGTGACCGAGACTACACACCAATGTGTACTGAAACGCGTTACGATTCAAAAGCCGTCAAGGCGAGTCGAACAACCCTAACATGATAAGTAGGAAAAGGATTGCGAAGCTACCACAAAATATCAAGACATACTACTCTAAGAAGAATAGAATCAGTGAACAGAGACAAAACAACCCTCCGAAAATACCAAGATGAGCGAGAAAAGGTAGTCAATAATTGACTGCTGTCCGTTATGACAGTTAACATTCTCAGAGTGGCGGCAAGGTTTGGTGAACAGTGACCAGAATCAGCATCCACTTCTCAAAGAAACATCAGTAAGAATTGCACCCATTCAATGTACATCGCGAAAAGCGCAAGCCGTAACCACATATGTGACTCAGGCAAAGGTGAAACTTGAAGGGAACAAGCGGGACATCCAAATCGGCCGTTGCTGTTGACTTTTGGAACATCGTCTAGTTTACACTATCTACTGAGGACCTACAACTTTGGTTGTTTTAATTATCAATTTTGTTTAACGGAACCACATCTTAGTTAACATTGTTATCCTACTCTGTCGATATTTTGGAATCATTTCAAAGTGCGTAATAGAGACGTAAGCGGAGCTGGATTTAGGAAGCGCGTGCCTCAGTGCGGTCGATAAGGCGATCAATCGAGTAGGCCAGTGGGCTTTTAGAAACTCAACTAGTTGTACTTCTCCCCATACATGTAAATAGAAGGCTTGTGTGAAGATCCTGTGTGAGTTCTCTGACGTGGCTGGGAGTGGCAGAGGTAAAGAAGAAGCGTTACGAAAGTGCGGTATGCAAAATGCCTTTCGTCTACTACGGGCAAAAAAAACCAAGAACACTCTTAAACGGATTGTGGGAAAACATAATGGCAACGTGAGAAAACATCGTGCTGGTTGGGAAGCTGGTCGTCTCCGATGATGCCTTTTGCAGAAAACGCGGTTAGGACTCATCCTCTCCAGCAATAAGCGTTCAATGCTAAGAAAAATCACTGACCTCACAGCTTATACGACGAAAGAAATATACAAGCATAGGTATTATTACGTTACAAGAAAGCTGGTTGTACGCTGATATTGAAAACGGAGTCATTAGCATCAGTGGATACCGTGCGACTAGGTCCGATCGCCCAGGTAAGCCAAGAAATCGTGGTGACGGAGTCGTCATCACGTACGTTAACCAACTCTAATGCAAATCAGTCAATCAACTATGCGCTCACTCTACAAGTTCTATTAGCTATCATTTATTTGAACGCAAGCCTAAATTTCTCAGTGGCTTTCAGTCCGTTGTTATCGGAAACTTCTACATTGCCCCCGATACGTCGTCATCCGAACTGAAGCTTTTGGTTGAGCAACTTATTTTGGTATCGCTGACGAAACTAGAATGCTCTGTCTGCATTGTCACCGGTGAGTTTAATGTGATACAACGTTCTGCAAGTCACAAGACGCACAGCTTGATGTAGAGTACACAAACAAAATACATTTGTTTTCCATTCGAAAGCGTGCACCACTAAGCAACTCGGACCATTGTATGCTAAAGATTTGCCCTACCATCTACAGTAAAACTAACTATGCCGCACTGACGAAATGACAATTCAGGACTATCCGACGACGCAATTGCTCGGTGGAAAATATCGCACGACTTCAAGAAACGCTTTCTTCAACCGATTTTTCAGTTTTTACAGATGAAGATCTATCGCTTCAATGCGATCATCTCACGAGTTACATAAACTTCTGCTTCCACCTATGCTGCCCTATCGAGACGATCTACCTGCGAGCAGATAGATTTTCTTCACCTCTGCTGAAACAATTTCAAAGAAAAGAAAGAACGTGCTTACAAGCTCAAAATGACCACCCGAGTCAAAAGCCTGACTTTAGCAATTAAAGCTGAAATAGCAAGACAAGTTTATACCTTGAAACGGTACTGGGAAACCGTAACTGCCGGGATCTCTGGAGGTTGTTGAAGCAAATCTGTGGTAAAAGTACCATCGGAGGTACTGGAACCGTGGATGTTGGCAGACTCAATTCTGAGTTTATCTTCTCTTCGCTTTTCCATTACTCTCCTTCACTAACTCATACTAAGCCACCTTATTAAATCAAGCTGACGTCAACAGAGAACTCCAGAAGCTAAATACAATTAAAGCTAGTGGCCCTGATGGCCTTTTACCCGTGATTTTTAAGCAAAGCACCGAATCTCTTACATTACCTCTGACTGTTATTTGTAACAAGTGTCTCACGACCGGTGTCATCCCGGATATCTGGAGGTCAGCCAGAATAACGCCAATTCCTAAAAAGAAACCTCACAAGTACTGGGCTATTGCTTGCACTCCCATGCATAGAAAAGTCCTCGAAAAGCTACTATCACGCATTTCCACAGCCACTCGTGCTGATGATGTCCACCAGTTTGCGTTTAAACCCCATCGCTCCACACTTGATGCTTTCTCATACATTACGCATTCAAGAGCCTCTGCGCTAGGGGAGAAGTGCAGGTCCGTACGACTTCTTTTCATTAACTATTCAAATGCGTTTCGGAGTCTTGATCGATCAGTTCTACTTATCATATTATACATGAACGGAGTCCGCCCTGATATTTGTAACTTGTTGCGTGACTATTTCACTGATCGTATACACTTTACCCAGTTAAACGGCAAAAGCTCCTCTATGCTCCGCGCTGACTGTGGTGTTTTGCAGGGCGCGATCCTCTCACCCCTTTTATTCTCTTTATATGTCGCAAGTCTTCCCATACCATCAACATCCACTGGATGTAAATACGCTGATGCCGTTGTCTCGGGGGTGCAGATTTCCGATCACTGAGACCTCTAGGCTTCAATGTGGTGTAGACAAACTTGTGAGTTGGTCCTCAACCAGGTCCCTTAACACTTTGAAATGTACGGATGTGACATTTTCAGCGCACCGCCCTGATAAATTGCGAGTAATGTTAGATGCCTCTCCTCTGTTAACTTTGGAGGACAAAACCATTCCTATTTCATCCACTGCCAAATATCTGGCTGTCTACTTTTCACAAAACTTCTCTGGGTCCATGCACGATTTGGAGGTCTTTCACAAGGTCAGAAGGTTATCTTTCTATGTTTTTTCCACTCAAAAAGTTCTCTGTACCGCGAAGCTTAATTCTGAGATTGGTAACTGTATGTATACACTACCACGCTGGTTGTACTGTTCCTCAGTAATCTTCCCTGGACTACTTCAAAAAGACTATGTCTTGATTGTGCGATCGAGTAGACATATTGCCAGACGTGGCGGCTTGCTTAGAGATTCCATGGCTGATTTTATTGTTCGTAAGCATTTTGACGTTTGCATGAGTATTTGTTCTATGGTCCTAAGTGACAGCTCTCATACGCTACATGATGCACTCTCACAAACCTTATCAGTCACTCACACACGCACAAAATTTAGGATTTTATCCTCTCGCACTACTTCGTATCAGAATACAATCTTGCCTTATTTGTTACGCTTTATTGTCGACCCTATGAAAGTCACAAATGCTTTGCATATGCGGTTGCTTAAATGACATCCATATATCTTTTACTATTTAATTCGCCATTCATTTAGTGTATCCGCAGTGATAGTGTAAACGCTGATAATGAACCTATTTAGGTGTATATAAAGCCTATTTTGATTTGACTTGATGCAGGGCGATAGTACGACCACATACCTGTAAACTTGACTGGAAGCGCCAGTAATGAGTTCAGAAGGTGGTAACCAAACCAAATACTTACCATTGGGATAGACGGTATGTTTTTCTAAATCATCGATGTCAATCACTGTATTTGCTCCGGAAATCAAAATTTGTAGTTCATCGGCATCGAATAGACGCAGCCAATCGATGCAGATCACATCGTTCAAACCGGCGGCGAACGCACGCACCTGAGGATAAATCTGCAAACGGACCAACAACAGAGAGTTTGAGGAGAAATGTTCAAAATCCAGTCGTCAGATACGAGAACGACTAAAAAACTGTCGGACACCTGCCACAGTCAGAACGATGGGGTTTAAAGGGGAAAAAGCTTGTTGCTTAGTGATGAGAAAGTAACGTGCGTGTTTATACATAAGTCGAGAGGAAGCTCGCGCAATAATAGAGGAGAGAGAAAAATTCGAAGGGAATAGGTAGGAAAACAGAGCAACCCATGGAGATCGATAATCATGCTAGTGGCACATTATGCGAGCCAGGGCAAAGTAAACGGGAACAGAAACATGAGCCAAAGCGAAACTACAACAACTGTGCGCTCATTATGCGTACCCCATTTAAGTCACACTCGCCATGGAAATTACAGCGGGCTAGAGACCACTCAGTGTGGCGGATAGAGTTCCAGCCCAGCTCAGGATGAGTCCAAACCAGGACGAAACCGCGGTTGTGGGGTGCCAGTGTTGGGATGAGCAACACCATGATATTTCCATAGTGAACAGTCCTTAGAATAAACATTGGCGAAGCCTGATATACTAGTTGCGCAGAGCCGCTGGGGTTATTATAGCAATGATCACTGGAGTTGTATAGCAGTGCCGAAGAATGATGTTATCCATGCGCAATAACCGGTGAGGCATGGTATAACGGACTCAGATGAAGCAGGAGTCGAAACCATTAGAGGTAACAAAAGCTCCGGTAACAGAACGATCACGGGTATTGTAGGTGCCAGGATGAAAATTGAAGGATTGTCAGTGGAAAAGTGGATGAGTTGGGCTATGTGCACATGTGCAGAAAACAACTGGAGAGTAGAGGACCTTGTGCTTTGGGGCATATTCACGAGATCAGAGGTAGACGTTGGAAGTTAGTAGCAGTGACAGGGAGTCCAGACGTCATCGTACTGAGCAAACAGATGAGGATTAATGTCGAAGGGTTGTGCAGATCGAGAAGAATGCAATGAGCGGCAGCTTGTGACACTGGACGGGTCCAAGCAGCAATTGGTAGGTTGAGTACTTTACGGTGGAGACTATGGCGACTCCTTGATGACACTCGTGATAACTGGGCGGTCTCATCAGTTATGGACTTTTTGGAACATGGGGCAAAGTGCATGGACCACAATCGGTTCATGTGTTGACAAGTGCTCATCTGTTGGCATATCTGGCGAGGCGGGCGGGCGGGCGGGGACAAGTAGGCACGCGTATGATGGGGCCACATCGCACGCCACCGGTGGTTTAGGGATGGCGGTCACAACTAACATCCCAATGGTCCCGGATTCGATGCCTACTATCTCTGGCTGATGAGATCAAATAAGAGCGAAACACGTCATGGAATGCAGTGTTCTCGGACGGACAACACCCAATTTCCATCTGCTACGATATTTTTTGGCGGTTGCTCAAATGCACGTCTGTGTATTCGCATCTAATCGCTGTTAGTTGCTTACTATAAAGATGATGACAGTGGATAAAACTGGCTCCACCGCACCCCGTTATTCGTAATTATAGCTGGTGAAGTGCACTAGCTTGGCGTAGTTTGAACAAGTCAGCTGAAAAGCTGAGTAACAAACGAATTCGAACAAAAAGCGGGTGCAAGCAATGGGACAATCTCATCAAAACAGGGAGTTAGAAACGTACGCGTACCTGTTTGTTAAGCTTGTAGTGAGCCACCAAGTGCATGTATTCCACCCGATTCTCGTTGGTCACCGGAATGCAGCGTCCGCCTGGTTTCAAATCGATCACCTCAGATTGGCCAAATGTGGACTGGACGATTGTGAAATCCAATGATAAATTTTTCACATCCCCAGTGTAAGTTTTTAGATATTGTAATTGTCTGCAATAGGGAATGAAAAATGCTGTAGTTAAACATAATCTCCAAAGGTGATCTCGAGAGAGCGCTGTACACAATGTGCCTATGAAATGTGTCTAAACATAGCAATGAAAGACCGATAAGTTCCACACAAATACTAGAGCTGTGAGTGTGTGCGTGTTACAGGGCAGGTTCAAAAATCGCTTATGTCGAGTATACAACGATATCTATCTGTGTCGTTTTGTCAGTAACCGCTGAGTTTCGGGTGAAAATTCACAACCAACACACCCGTTCTCAGTGAGGTCTCTAACTGCTGCCTCGCACCCGCTAACCAACTCTACCGTGGTAAATCCGGCTCAAGATGATTGGAGTCTGTCGTCACAAGACTCAGCTGTATGACCATTTCCAATCGCTGCACTGTCTCTCAATCTAGGATAAGGCTGCCTAGATCATGTGTTTACTCCGACGATTAGGACGCCAAAACAATGAAGCCATCAACTGGGAGAAATGAAGCTGACCATTAAGAAAAAGCCGGCTCAATCATATGTACCATCTGTGGAAAGAGGTGCTTCAATAAAGCAGACTGTAACCATACGCAATTCAGAGAAGTTATCAAGTCAGCCGCACCGATTGAAGGAAGATGGACATAGATTGGTTTGATGTAGACCTAATGATAGGGAAAATATTGGGTGGAAATGGTGCACTGTTCAAACGCAACTGTCGGTCAACCTTAGTTTGAAATAGAAGTAGAGGTGGAACTTCCGTTATTCACTCTACTAGGTTGCAAGTTTGCTTGTGCTCCATGAACACCCGTATGTGACTGGGAGTTGCCGTTAACGACGCTGAGTAGGCGGTACGAAATGAACGCAGCTACCAATCTTCGTTCACACAATGTACTTTTCGAACTGAAGATGAACCAAAATCGTACACTGATGGCTTGATGTAACGCCAGGGAACAACCGGCTGAAAACAGAGTACAGCAAAGGATCCAAGAGGATGAACATCGCGGACAGTCACTTAGTTAACTTCGCAGTTGATGAAGTCATAGAAACAACATTCTCTGGACATGACCTAGAAGGTGTGAAGCTAGTTCCTGGTGAGCGACTTCTTGACTTGGAATACGCGGACGATATTACCCTAATCTGTGACAGCTCCCAAACATGCCAAGTAGCATTGGACCGATTAGCACCGGCTGTCAATCGTCCCGGGCTATGCTTTGCTCCATCGGAATGCAAAGTACTTCTCTAAAATTGGCAGGGACCTACCCCTGCGCTAACGCTTTGTGGTGCTTAGCTAGAAGTCCTTCAGGAATTCAAGTACCTGGGCAGCTATATTAGCGCCCGTGGGATCGAAGATGAGGTTACGAACCGTATAGCAAAAGCTCAAGGTGCTTTTGCCAATTTCCGCCACCTGTGGCGCAGACGCGAGATTACCCTCATTCTGAAGGGCAGGGTTTATAACGCAGCCGTCCGTTCAACTCTCCTATATGGCTGTGAAACCTGGCCCATCAGGTCGGCAAACATAAAGAGGTAATCACTTTCGACCTTCGCAGCTTAGCCCATGTCTGGTGGGAGCACCGCGTGAGCAATGGGCGTGTTCGGTGTTGCGTATTTGGTGTAGGAAGAGCGAGTGAACCGCTCAGCACCATTATGTCACGCACCAGGCTCCGATGGCTGGGCCACATGTTGCGCATGCCAACACACCGACTCCCGCGACGTGCATTGTTTGCGCGCCGGGGGTGTGGTTGGAAGAGGAGGAGGGGAGACCAAGTGAAGACTTGGTTGAGAGAATTGAAAACCCTCACTTCGAAGTTGCTGTCGGTTGGTGCATCCTGACTGCCAGGCTGGGGTCCTAAGGACGATGAACACGTTTGGTTGGACACGCTGATATGGCTAGGAGCCGGCCCCAACGGCATTTGTGTTGTGAGTTTCTTCGTCCATCCACCACCTGCTTAGCCTCCCCCTCCAATCACGATCTCATTCGTGACATAAGATAACTCCGTTTGCGGCACTATAGCCAGCTGCTAGCTCACCGGAACGATGTCCATCCGTTTCTGGGGACTAAGCGTGCCTGTTGTATTTTTCCTTGTCTTTTATATTGCGGCACAATAGCTGATGTGCTTTCCACCTGCAGCTAACGTGTATAATGAATGAATGAACAGTGGGGGCTCAGATAAGGAGACCGCAGTGATATATCAGCTCGAAGGTGTGACAATGAAGTAGTGCTTTTTCCACCCGGGATATCCCGTTTTACCGGTAAGCCCGTCCCAAGTAGCCTAAATACACGCAGTCCTGCTAGGCGGTGGGAGCACTGCTATTGCGGATACGGATTACATGGGTGCCACGAGGCTGCTACACCAGCATTCGATCCAAACAATGTCGTGGTGCAGCGGTTTCTTGGTCAGTGATAACACATTCAATTCACTGTTCAAGGGAGCAACTTGCTGCCTCCCATGTGGCAGTGCTCGAGGAAGTCTGGAATCGCAGGCATCGGCGACGATCGCAGTGAGCAAGCTAGCAAGCAAGTAGACGGTACAAGCAGGAATAGCGAATCAGTGCAGAGGATAACCAGTCTGTTTATCTAGCCACTGGTCAGCCCCGAGAAAAATCGGTTGCACTAACGTTCGCCCATGCAGCAGACCTGGCTGGAAGCGACCGCGTGGTGGTCAGCCTTCCACTTGGCGGCAGCACATGAAATCGCTGACGTCGTGTCTAGCCGCTGTTGGACCCGTACGTCTTTCAGGATGGGGACCCAAAGATGGCGAGTGCCAATGGCTTAGGACACTTGAAGACATGGCCCGCAACCGGAATCAATGGAAGAATTGTGTACAGTGTTGTGTTGATTCACATGTTTAATTCTACAAAAATTGAAAATGACAAAAAAGAGAAAACCGGCGTGTGACAAACAAACTAAAAATGTTTTGTTCTGTATTTTTGTCAAAATATTCCATTTTCTTGCGGCATATTAGCTGAAGTGTGTTGCCCACCTTCAGCTAGCATGCCATGACGATTATGACGCAATGACTGTCTCTTATACACTGATTTCCATGGTTTTCTTGGCTCTATGTCTAGTTACTAGACTGTTGAGATTACAGACAGACAGAAAGACTACATAGCTACGGGCTTTATCTTTCCATGGCACAGATCGTCCACGCACGACGGATTGCCGTGGTGCTTCTACGAAAAAGTGAAATGATTGCTCTTTGTGTGACAGTGTCTCCGGAAATAGTCACAAAAATGAAATCGATCAACAGATCTTGTTAGTAGTGCGAGTAAATGATGGAAGTTCCCAGTGACAGGCTTCAAAATGTATGGTAATAGGCCTCATGCAGTGAGAAGCTGCGTCTAAGGTATATTTCGAACTCCAAGGTTCGATGAGATGATATAGGTCAACCCTAGCCTTTTTAATATTCAAGGGTCCGCTAGTATAATCCGGAGTAGGTAAAACTATGGAAGCCTAAAGGAGGCACATCTAACCTTACTCTAGATCTCGTATGGGCAAAGTAGAATTTGATGTGGTTTCTGGAAACGCAAGATTCCCTTGTTGAACAACAGGTGTGTGGATCGAGAATAACCTCACCCTATGGTTCATAAGAACAGGTCTTACAGAAGCAGGCGATTTGGCCACAAACAAATGGCTAGTTGGATAGCATAAACGATCAGATAGTTATATAAGGCATCAGCAGTACGCTTCGTTGCCAACCAACCACCACCAGTCGCGCGAGGGCTAGGATACCGCGCCAGGTCCCGTACGCAGGCCTGAACCGGTGAAATCCGAGTTGCAAGGCAGGCATCTTGCTTTTACGGCCACCGGCCGGAGAAAATAGGGGCTGTTGATGCCCAAATGACTGATTGTGATGATGACACTAGAAACTGACATGCCAATTCACCCAAAAGCTGAATAGACGTTCAGCTGAAGTGAATTTTCATTCAATTGCTGCGGTACAGCCTGAAGAGATGTGGACGTTGATTCTGTCGAATTACATCTGAATACAAACATGTAGCTCAAGAAGATAAGGTGTCAAATAATGTGGCAACGAACGGCCAACAAATAAGCGAATACTAGAAGTAAACACATTATGGTCGATCGGGCAGTCTCTAGTGTGATGCAGAGGCATACGATAAGAGTTGAATCCACTGCCTGTTCATCATTGGAAGAATCTTTAAAAAGACAGTGGCAAGGAACATGTACCACAAAAACTGAATTGACCTGGATGGTTACCGCGAGTGGCATGACGAGCGAAGTATTGGAACATGTGAATGGAGCACAGCGCAGTGTGCTCTGAGAAGCGAAAATTGCGTATGGGGAGTGAAAGGAAGAAGAGGTGAGACGGAAGTGACAGCAAATGCAATCACATGACCGAAATCCAGTCAACACATTTGGTCAGAACGTTGCGAAAAACCGATAGGCGCACACAACAAACCTGTACAGCTCCGGATCCAGCGAGCGCAAGTAATCAAATCCTACACAACCCCCACTGCGACTGGCAATTTTGGCGAGGAAAAAGTGGGCAAACTGCAAATCCACGAGCATACTTTCGTAGAGAGCCTGAGATAAAAGCAACGAAGGAGGAGAACACGAAAGCGAGTTCATGGGTCAGGTGACAACTTGGGATAAAACGATCTGATTGATGGGAACAAAGTGGGTGGACTGTGGCGGATGCAATAACGAAAGGTTTGAGGGCAACATGATGACGGCTTAGGTCAGGATCTCGGTGAGCAAGACGAAAGATGAGAACTAGCAACTGCAAATCTCAGTAGACTCAAGTAAGCACTATGGTTGTACCTACTAAACCTGGTTTCCGGCTGTTCAACCATCCCTCCTGTTGTTCATCAAAAACGCAGAGACTCGAATGTGCAGCCAAGCAAAGGGCATGGAAAGACTTCATCTTCGGCATTCGGTCGATAGTAGTTCAATGAACAACAACACACCGCATCAGTTGGTAGCTAACAAAAGAAAATCCGTCACAGGCATAGAACCAGGCGCTGCCGCTAATCATGGCTAATGCTAGGAAGACCAAAATAGTCGATACGCATGGGGTGATCTGTTGGAGTAAAAAGAGGCTGTTAAATGCGCCCACCGGACGTTCACACTTTTGGAGTCACTAAAAGACCAGCAGTGAAACAGATGTACCAAACTGTACAGAGATGGGGGCAGTCACACAGATCACTAAGTTGACTAACAGCAACGTATAGTGGATACAAACGGGAAAGATCGCAGTATCCGAACACATCTTTAACTAGTATGGTAGCAAAGAACAATTGCAACACACGAATGTAGTGTCAGCAGCGACAAGAATGGGTCCGCAAGCTGCACAAGGTTTTGTACACCTTGGGTGATTCACGAAATTACGCACCTCTCATGTATTTTCAGAACCAGGCGTATTAGACGGGCTCAGTTACAGGTTAAATAACTCCAGTTACAACATGTCTCGCGGTTACAGAGCAGTTCAGTTCAGTTGAACCACTATGATTCAAGCACCGAAATAATAAAAAATATAATGTGTCAGCTGTACGCAGTAACGGCGCTACGCTGCCGCGCGACCACCATTAGTCGCGCGTGGACTGAGTACACCGCCAGGGCGCCCGCCCCTACGCGGATTCGAACCGGTGACCTTATGATTGCAAGCCGGGCATGCAGACCAATCGGTCACCGGGTGACCGAAATGCGGTGGATCCAGTTGCCACAACTCACATTGCAACAACAACAATAAATAACGATGACAAGATAGTGCCGGTAAAGGCAAAGAGAATTTAAAGATAGTGGAAACAAGAAGGAAGTGCGTTAAACTAATCAGAATAGAACAAAAATTAACAACTAAATGAAGGAAACCGAATGCAGGTACGCCACTGACTGCGTGACTGTGCCATGTCTGATACGAGCTCCACCCTTCGGCGTGGGCCATCCCGAGGCCTCCATCCAAGTCTTTCCTACACGCACACGTGTGTCGCTGCTCTAACAATTGGTGAAGAGTAAACGTGTGGTCGATACAACCACTACCAGAGTGGGTTAGGATTGCTTCTGCTCCCATCGACTGGATCCTATCAGTACAGTACAGTTCAGTTGAACAACTATGATCCGAGCACCGAACTGCGGTGGATTCAGTTTCCACGACGCACACCGTAAGAATAACAATAAATAACAACGGTAGTACGGTGGGTTTGGGTGAGAATAGAATGTAGAGAAAATAGAAGCAAGGAAATGTATTAGACTAATCAGAATGTAACGAAAATTAACATGAAGATGCAAGGAACCGAATGCAAGAACGCCACTGACTGCGCGACTGCGTCGTGTCTGATACGTTCTCCAACCATTAGTGTGGACAATACCCAGGCCCCCATCTAAGAAGATGGCACGCAGAGCAAAGTGCTAGCAAGACTCGTCATTTCCCAAATCCTTCTGCATCCTCTCCAGGCATGACCTTCTAAATTCGAACAACGAAACAGGAGTTAGAGGTCGTCACTGAATGGTTCTACACCTTTACGTGCGTTCCACAAGCTCCACAAAGGTACCCGATGTGCTGAAAGGAATCAAGGCCAAACTAGGATAAATGCAGAAGGAATGACGTACTGCCAAGAAAAACATCCTAAACTCCGTATCACTGAAACACGGCGTTTTGAAACGCGTTCCATTTCGAAGTGCTGCTGCCCTCAACATTGCCTTGGGTCATCTTGACCTTATGAAACGCCACAGTTGGGCTCACATGCGAGCGAGACACGACAGGTAGGCAGAAATAAACATTAAAGAAAAGGGAGTATAAGTTAAGCAAAATGGAAACGCAGAACACCGTGTTTCTTTTTCATACACCAAATTTTGCATTTTTTGTCATTTTCAATATCTAAACCATAGAAATTGTGAAGCAAGGCAATTCCGCATAACGTTCCTCCTTGGATTCCAGTTGCGAGTCATGTCGTCTCCAAGCATGTCAAGCCATTGACGCTCCTCACTCTTGTGTCCCCACCTAGGAAAACGTACAGGTCCAATGGCGGCTAGACGTGAGGTCAGCGGTTTCATGTGTTATACAGCGCAGCGCGGCAAACGTTTAGGCTTCATGCGTAGGACTTGATCGAGCCATCTCAACTGGCGCACCAAAAGCAGTTTGTTGCAGAGGACAGTCGCATTCCCAAGGACACGACGTCTAAAGTCATCACTGCGAACTAGATGTCGCCACCACACACGAGCGATCCTCATCAAACTACCGTTGCCGAAGGCGGAAAAACGGCGCATGTCCTCCAAGTGAATTGACCAGAACTCGCTCCCATACAGGAATACTGAGCGAACGGAGGAACTGAAAACGTGACCCTTTTATAGAGATGGAGGCGTCCCGACGACGTCACAAGTGCGTCGGATTGATAAATGAGGATCAATATTGAAGAGGAATGGCAAAGAAAGCACCATGTCGCACACCGCTACTGACAGCAAAAAACAAGAAAATTTACCGTAAACTAATCTGCCGAAAACATAAAACTAAAATACGCGTATGATGACGGTACAACTCTCTGGCACCCCGTTCTTTAGCAAGCAACAAAAAAGCAAGTTGACCAACAGAGACAAATGCAGTCCGTATGCCAGAGAATGCGACGATGGTGGGCCTGTGGTAAATGTGGCGGTGTTGGCGGAGCGTGAAGATTTGATCTACATACGCACGGTTTGGGCGGAACGCAGCCTGTTCTTCCCGGTAGTAGGATTCACGAATTGGTGATAATCTGCGGAGCAAAATAGATGTCAATAACTTGGAAGCAACCGAAATGAGGTCATTCCTCGATGATATTGGCGCATAAAGTGCGAGCGTCTTCATTGAAAATCGGGACAATAATTGGTTCGCCTCAAAAGAAAGGCATTTTTCGTTCACGCCAGATGTTGAAAAACAAAGTCAGCTGGTTAACCATTACTACGCCGCCGTACTTGAACAGAAAAGTCCATCTGAACCGGCAGCATTGAATCACTTTGAAACTGACTTCTGCTTCGCTGAATAGATCCAGTTGGACGATCCAGAGTATCCAACAGCGTATACTGCGAGTACAGACAGACGGTGGGTGGCTGTTGAACTGCGAATGAAAGTGCTCGGCCCAGTGGTTCAAACATCTCTGCTGGTTGATAGTCGGAGATCAAAGCGCCTCGCCGGTAACCTCACTGACACGAGGCTTCCTGAAGCAACTAGACCGAATGAGTTGGGAAACCTATCGAGTGTTGTCAAAGAGGACAGCGGTCTCCATCTCCAAGTCACTTTCAGACCACCAAGCCTCGCGATCCTTGCGCAAGCTTTTCTTGAGCTGCTGGTTGGCACAGCGGCGCCGCTCATTGTAATCTAATTATGCTAGGACAACTCTGCGGCGGTCGAACAGCTCCAGAGAGCGAGTACAGATCCAGGCCTTTAAGGAGCGTCGAGCCATACTGCAGCTTGATTGTCCAGAAGTGATCATTGCCTTCTGTACATAAGTCCAGTGTTGCTCAATGACTTGCGGTGAATTGCAACTGAGTGCGACTGACAGTGAAGACTGATAGTTCGCCTGGAACGAGGAATCAGCCGAACTGTTCGCATCAATCTTGTGGTGCTTCGTTTTTAGGACCTCCAAACATATGCAGATTTTCACGCAGACCAGTGCATGATTTGAGTCAAGGAAAGTGGATCAAAATGGCCTGCAGTCCAGTACGCAGCCCCATCATTTGAACCTGAGTGAGACCACAATTGTGTTAATGAAGGGGGACGCCAAGTTGTCAAACGTTTCTTTGCATGCCTGAAAGTAAAGCTCGAGAGAAACAGATTATTGTCTTCGTACAACGTGAGAAGTCTATCTCCGTTATCTGAGAGGCTCTCATCGAGCTCGCGGCGACCACCAAAGTGAAGTTAGCATGGCAGCAGATAACCGACTCGTGCAATGAAAATCACAGCAAAGACAACATGTTCCCATTGCACAAGAGCTGATGAAGGATCTCGATAAAAGTCGTACTTGACCGAGCTACTGCTGCAGTCAGCTGGAGCGTACACGGAGGACATATGCTAGTTGTCTCTTCTCGCTAAGCGTGTTGATCCTACATGAGACCCGAAGTCGAACTGCACACAGTCGGCTGTTAAGCAGGAAGCAGTCCAACAGTGCGGCCTCGGTTTTACCACTTACCTACCAATAAGGCCGATTCTGGAGATGAGAAATTAACCTTAAACATCGCAGGAAGGTTGACGAGTTTACTGGATCCACTCAGAAAAATGGCATCTCCGATTCAACTAACCGATACTTTCCAATTTGTCGAAAGCATTCGAAGTACGAATTTCCTAAACCATCAGATGTTCTATTTGAATGTTGTCTCATGGTTCACAAAAGTCCTTTGATAGAGACAGTTAGTTTCCTGTGCACCTACATCGAACAGCACGGGATGAACCCTGGGATACCAACAGTCCACCTGAAACAGCTATTGTTCAAATGTACCTAGAACATCAAGTTTCAATGCAACAATGAGTTGTACAAAGAAGTGAATTGAGTGGCGATGGGATCTCTCTTAGGACCACTGTTGGCTGATGTGTACATGGGAATGCTCGAAAATGGCTCACTAAAGCAGGTCATAAAAGAATTCAGATTCTGCTATCGTTAGGTAGATGGTATTTTATGTACAGTTGACCGAGCGACCAACATAGAACGTATCGTTGAGTATTTCAACCGAGCATATCCTAATGCAGTGTTTTTGATAGAGGAGGAAAATGACTACCAACTAAGTTTCCCCGATGCAAACACTACGAAAAGACAAGACGGATCTGTTCAGACAGGACTATACAGGAAACCGTACTGGACAGATCAATACATACATTTCCAAAGTTTTGTACCACTCAGCCGTAAAAGAACCTTAACGGACCATGAATATCGAATCTGCAGCGAGGACACCATCGCAGAAGAATTGAAGCGAATCAAAGAAGTACTCCTAGAAAACGGTTACCCGAAATGCCTCAGTGACCCTCACAAGAAATAAAGCAGTCCGAAAGTTACAAGGCACACCGTTGAGAAGAAAATTCTGTTTATTGCTCTTCTATTCAGAGGGGATAACGCGGTAGAAGTATGTGCGCGACGACTGGTGCGAATCTGCGGGAAAACCTTCCAAGCGACCCAAGTAAAAGTTGGCTTAATGAGCAAGTCACTATTCGTTCCTAGATTCAAGACCTAGTGTTCGGCCATCTCGATGCTGTGGTAATGAACCGGTTTACTTGTCCCTGTGGATCTAGATATGTGGGACGCACGACCAGGCATTTCTTTAAAAGAATCAAGGAACATCTACCAAGTGGGCTCATGAACCAACAAGACAGAACCAACTTAAGTGCAATCATAAAACACCTGATCAGCACTGGCCACCAAATCGAGAAAAGGACTGCTTTTGCGATTGTCATCAGCATCGTCATTTACAGGTTAGCTAGAGGTGTAAAGCACCTCAGCTATTGTGCTGCAATACATAAAAGGGAAAGAAAATAAATACAACAGTTGCATGCCAGCTGAGCTACCAGCAACGGATGGGCATCATTGCGGAAAGCTACCAGCCGGTTACTAAACAACAAGAAAAATTAATATGTATGATTATAGTACGCTACGAAATGAGATCGTGGTTGTGATCATGCACAAAGCATCAAACCGCAAGAACCATCGACTGAGTGCGTGACTACTTGCTACCGCGGAAACGGTATGCTTAAGATTAATGAATCCGAATCTATGCATCCAAAAATGACACATCCAAGCGCTGTACCTCGTGAAGAGTCGGACCTAACCCACCAATCCCATGTGTCTTCTCAATCAAATGATCGCCAAACGCACATCGATACACTCGATTCGAAGGTTTTGATCAATCATTACTCTTTGTACTCACAAATGCTTTTGGTAGCTTTCTACCGTTTATTTCGGTACTGAGTTTGATAACGAACAAAGCAAATCAACTGTCTGCTCTGACACCACCGCTTGCGTTTCTTACTGGGATTAACAAGAAATGGACACTTTACAACTTTATTGTGTGTGCATTTCTTGATTCGATAGGGCTTGAAGCAACTGGCTTGCTCGTTATATTTCACCCTCATTTTGAACCGCATTAATAGGAAGCAGTTGCAGTGTTTGGTCCACTGATTTTGATGGTAATGCGTCACAGACATTCGCCACTATACTAGTTAGAACAGGAAGCATTGTTAGACTACCAAGAAGACGTGATTGACGAGCAGCCAGAAGTGTGCCGTCCATTGGCAGTTCACTCCATAGAGTTTGACAACAATGAAATGTCGAATGGCAATGCAAACATTTGGCCTTACGAAAGTATTTAAACAACGCGATTTGCATTTGATAGTGAGTCGTTAACAATGCAGTCATTCACAGCCAGCCCAGTTCAGCGGTGTGGATGAAGGCGCAAAGAAAGAAGATGATAAGGCGAATGCCCAATGACGAGATTCGCACATTCGTTCACTGTCGAACAATTGTAAAACATACGTACACCATCGAGGAAAGAGCAAGAGAAAAAACCCACCTTGGCCAATATACGACCTAAAAAGTAGTAGTGCTTTAGGTAGTCTTCAGCGATTGCGGCCGCTTGCGGATTCGGGTACAAGGTCTTTTCTGCAGTGTAGATGAAGAATCCACGGGTTGGATCGAATCCATCACGGATGAGTTCGGAGAGGAATTCGCGTGACAGACCGCCCCCGTCGATACCAGCTTCCTCTGCACCGACCTGATTCATAAACCGAACGCGCAAACGTGGGCGCAAGTTGGCCTCTATGAATGGGGAAGTAGATACCATAGTGGCTCATGTTGCGAAGAACAACATTTGGGTCTTCATATACAAATCCAAAGTACAGTACAGGAGACTAACCGTTCTCTTTGGATAGCTTGTCAAATGAATCTTCGTATAAGTGTGTTCGGCGTACCAGTATGGACACATCCGGGTATCGTTCTGCGCTGGAATGAGTGGCCAGAGCGGCCAGACTTGGAACGTGAGAGCCCTGGACAGAGATTCGAGAGGACTCGACCAACAGTTGAAAAAGCTAGAGAAATAATTGGGCATGGAAGAGTGAATGAAAAAATGCATCTGCAAACAAAGCGAAAATACGTTAAAAGATGAGCAGAGTTTAGTATACCATGAACCAAAGCTAGATAAACAATGATTAAGTGCAATAAAAGATGAACCATCTTCAGATGTAGATGCGTCAGGCAATCGTCATTTCGGAAACACGCGAACGAGTTGATGAAAATCGACCGAAAAGCCGTCTCTTTCAAAATTATTCACTATAGACGGTACTCTGGACGATAACCTAGATATGCGGCCACCGTATGGATATATAAACGATGAGCGAGAATGTGTCACATACAATCTGTGCTAGTTGCAGTGGTGTTATCACTCGGTCAAAGCCGTTCGAGTTGCCAAAAATACTTCCCTTATTTAGCCACCATGTTATAATGAGGCTCCGGCGAATCGCTGAACATTCGGGTTCCATGCAAAATTACCGGTAGAACGAGTACTAGAGAGTACTGGAGAACATGGGAGATATGTCAAGTGGGGCGAAGCGGAAGAGAACGGCGGTTTCGATCGACCACGAGGACTTTGGGGTATGGTTGTTTCTGTACAGTTGCAGAAAGATGAGCCAAAACATTGAATAAGGCCTACACCAAAGGTAGGTGACCATTAAAAAAACTGATAGGCGACAATCAGATGTGCACCAAAAGGATGTTGCGAACAAGCATTGGTACAAAGAAAATCCGAAGGATGACAAAATGATTAACTGCAACTTATTTGATCCAGTTCGCACAGAATCCCCCACTGGTTGACCGCACCAAGGCAGACGCAAAGTTCGCGAGGAAGCAAAATGATGCTTAGCATAATGCGGGGGAAAGATAGGCAACACACAGTATCGGGTGTCGCATCCTATTAATCTGTGATGACAACCGTAACGTACGTTTAGTACAACTGCTCGAAAGCAGACCATGAGAGCTATCGATAAAGGGTACACAGTATGGATCCTGTAATACATAGCGACATGAGGTAGGGTAAGGAAGGTCAAACGGCGTTTCCGTGTTCAGTTGGAACAGGTAGAACTGAAATTGTTTTCGGTGTCGCTGACCTATGATACGGTAATTAGTGACCTAGAAAATACATGTCAAAGTTCTACACACAGAAAGTGGTGGATTTTAGACCCGAACAAAATGCATCCTGTTTCCCAGGTAGGTGTACTTGCCACAAAGTTAGCAAACTCCGACCAAAATGCCTGGGAATGCGTATAGTACTCCTAACATAGTAGATACTCGAGAAACCTCACAATGATGACGGGGAATAAGTTGTTCGAGAACAAACGCAATGAGAACGAGTCAATTCAAGTATGGAGCCAGGCAACAACAGCGAGTTGGTCTACGTGTAGAATACAGTTTGTACCCAACAACGTGGATGAGAACCATCAATGGAGTGAAGCATTCGGAGTAGGGAAATTATTTCGATGACAGTGCCTATTATTGTCTCGAGGCTGCGGACAAACCGAGTCATCCATTCAACGCGTTCGTAATTTTCAATACACAAATGCATCATGCTCCCAACAGATGCATTGCCGCGGTGAGAACAAACAAATATAAAAACTGAAGAGTTCGGATGGTATGGCTGTTGATATGCTACCAGAAGAGTAGTGAATTTGGATGAACTGTGCAAAAACTATTTGCTCAGCTTCCAGCAATTTTGAATGCCCGTCGAAGCGAACACAACAATAAGCATAAAAATCCCAGAGCAAATATATCTGATAGCCTGAAGAGAGACCAGACTTCCCGGTGGTCTCATCGTGTATCGGAGATACAGACAGCCACTGCCCTTGGTGACCATCGCAAGTTATTCCACCTGATAAGGTAAACGGGCAGCAGGCGACTTGGTGTTAGTGGGACCATGCGCGAGGAGAGTGAACGACCAATCCAAAGCTTGTCAAAACGCTTTGACTGTAAAGTCGAACAGTTAGAAAAGCAGAACGAGTTACCAGCTTCTCCATTAGCCAATGATCAACCTTCTCCCCGGGCCGTCCCCATGCATCCAGGATTGGCAGATATCTGAACTGGCGCTCACCATTGCTGGACATGTTCTAGAGCAACTCCCTTGCTTTACTTATCGAGGGGGTAGCATCACGGCTGGTGGTGGTGTTGGAGATGAAGCCTCATAACGGGTTGCAAAGACCCGCATTGCATTCATTAAACTGGCACCCAGTTTGCTTGCCAGTGACTTCATTTCACGCTGCCAAGTCAACTTCTCTCCACCTCGAGCCTTGCGCCATCCTACACCTGGTAGACTGAACAAGGCTCTCCTAGGTAAGCGGTGACCAGGCATGCGTAGCACGTGCCCGAGCCAACGCAACTTATTCAATGCTATCTGTTGTTCTAGGGAGCTAGCATGATTATCACTACCTAGTACTCGCCTACGCACATCATCGTTGCGGACACGCTGGTGCCATCCGACACCAGCAATGCTTCGCAAACAACGATGAGCAAAGACTTGAAGGCGCCTCAGGTCTTCAGACCGAAGGGGCCAAGTTTCACTACCATACAGCAGAACGGCCCTCACTGTGGCCTTGTATCCACGGCCTTTCAGACGGAGGGAAACTCCCTTCTGTCGCCAAAGATGCCGCAGGTTCAAGAAGGCAGCTCTGGTCCTTGCAATGCGTGAGCTCACGTCAGTTTCTATGCGCCCATCATTGCTGATGCAGCTGCCAAGATAAGTGAATTGATCAACCACCTCGAGTTCCTCGTTAGCAAGCGTCAAGGGGTCATCGAGTGGCTGGTGGTCCTGCAGAGACACTTTGCACTTTGAAGGTGCGAAGTGCATACCAAATAATGGGACCACATTGGATAGGCTATTCAGGGTTGATTGTGCCGCCTCAACATTGTCGAAAACAAAGACGATATCGTCCGCATAATCCAGGTCAACTAACCTTTCACCAGGCAGCACTTCAACGCCTACATCGTGAGATTCCGCAAGGGAACACTCCATGATAGAATCCACGACGAAATTGAACAAAAATGGGGAAATCGGACAACCCTGTCGAACGCCACTTGCAGTCGAAAAGCTATCCGATAGGGCACCGTAGACCCTGACGCGGCCTGTAGAGTTCGAATAAAGAGCACGAAGGATGTTCACATATTTCGTGGGAACACCTTTTCGCGCAAGTAATTCGAACAGAATCGATCGATCGACTGAATCGAACGCACTCTTCAAGTCAAGGAACACAGCTATTGTCGGTCTGCGGTATGCGTGGCGCTGCTCTAGCACCTGCCGCAAAGTAAATATATGGTCTATACAGCCGCGTCCTGGGCGAAAACCTGGCCTGCTCTTCCCTAATCCGAGATTCCCGTTCTGCAGTGAGGCGACGAACGATAATCGAGGCCAGTAATTTTGTCACAACTGGCGTTAGGCTAATACCTCTGTGGTTCGAACAGTCTGTGCGACTGCTCTTCTTGTATATTGCCACTATAATCGATTCGCTCCAATTAGCTGACACACTTTGTTCCAGATATGTTCGAATAGGGAGGTCAGTGCCCTGCAGAGGACCTCACCTCCATCCTTAAATAGTGCAGGTGGGAGAGAATCCGGGCCAGTGGCAAGAAAACGATTAAGTGCTGTGATCGCGTTTCGCACCTCGGCCTCCGACGGAGGCTCTAAACTAACCGTCCATGGCACGTCTTGCATCCCCTGAGTAGGATGAGGTCCGGGAGCAGGGTGCTAGCTGAACTGATCTTGAAAGTGTTCCGCACAACGAGCCATACGGCGCTCCTTTTTGTGTATCAGCGCATCCGCGCTGTCTCTGATTGTCTCACTGACGCCTGGTTTCCTGGGACCAGTGGTGCGGATCAACTGGAAGACCTTGCGGTAATTGCCTACTGCTCCTGCCCCCTCCATTTCTTGAGCTCGACTGGTCCACAAGGCTTCCTTGTCAGCCCGTAGGCTCCGCTTTAGTTCACGCCTAATAGCCCGTCTGGTCACATTGTGTTCAGAACCAGCCGGGAGACGTCTTCTAGATTCCAACAGGTTCACCGACCTCTCGGATATCCAGTGACTAGCGCGGTGACGATGGATAGTGCCACAAACAGATGCTCCTACGTCGTGCGTGGCGGCCGAGATCCTATTCCACTGAAGGTCAGTGTCATTAGGACAAGACAGCGAAACTTCGGTACGCAGTGCGCCTTGATATACTTGCCTGACCGAAGGCTGAGACAATTTCTCCGTTGCCTTTCGGGGTAGACGCTTTGTGCGCCTTCCCGTAAAGTTCATGGAGAAACGACAGCGTACCAAGGCATGATCAGAGGCAACACAGGCACTCCAGTACGAGCGGCAATCCAGAATGGAAACACGCCACCTTTAACATATGGCTAGGTGGTCAATTTGGGTCCATCGCTGGCCAGCTACAGGTGGACGCCAAGTGGCACTTCGGCGCCCACTGTGTCTAAAGTGCTACTGAGAAACAACTGGTGCTCCGCACACAGTTGCACCAGACGCTCACCGTTGCCAGTCCGTTCGGAGTTAAGCCCATAATTATCACCCAGCTGAGCTTCTGAAGAGCTCAGACGCCCTACTTGTGCGTTCATATCCCCTGCAATTACTATAACATATGAACTTGAAGCAATGCGTAGTCGCGAGTTCAGTTCGTGGTAGAATGTGTCCTTGACTGCCTTAGAACTGCAGTCGGTGGGAGCATAAGCAGAAATCACAAACAAACAGCGTTTTGTTTTACTTCGCGAATTCACCTTAGCTGATGTCGTCAAACGGGCTGCACATAAACGGCTGTTCACCGGAATCCAATCAACCAACGATGACTCAGCCTTGCAGCTGAGAATGATACCTACACCAGCTTGACCCGTGAGTGCCGCATCGGCGTCTCCGGATGCGTGTAACCAATAACAAAAGGATAAGCCGGGTGCAGTCAATTCAATAACCCCGTTAGGGTCATTAATCCTAGTTTCGGACACACAACACACATCAACACCCAGTGTGTCCAAGGTGCGTGCGAGTGTAGCCTGTTGACCT